TTTAAAAGAAAAAAGCTACAGTACTGGACTTAAAAAAATAAATAGGGTCCGAGGTGGAGGGTAGGAACAAAATTACGGGACTTAAAATGTAAAACCATCTAAGATACGAGGTTTTTAGACACTTTCGGCGGTTGAAGGTCAACGTCCGTTGGGCTAAAGCTAGCGCTTTGCTAGCATGCTAACAACGGTCTTTTCAACGGTTGGTGCCATGTTTGAAGGAAAAGCCAGTCGAGAAGATCCACGGTGCTTCAGTAAGAATATTTTTTAAGAAGGAAAACAAGAGGAAAAACACGGTAAGAACGCTAACTTTGACACCTGTCAGTATTTATTCTCTGCTTGCTCCGGATATTCAATTATGGACGCCATAACTGTTAAACAGCTGTTGGAAAATTAGGCTGAAGTATGCTTCTGATTCAGTTGAAAGCTAATTTATTTTTATTTTTTTTTGCACTGTTATTTAATCCTTATTTTATTTTTGTTTATTAGATACTGAATGAATATTATGGATTATGATTAGGAGTTGCTGCTGTTGCAAACAGACTTGAACTATAACTCTTTTCCCCAAAACATTCAATACCTATGATTGATTTTCATAATGACAGATGCCTGGTGTCGACTGTCTGTGGTTTTGTGACTTGGCTCTGCTCATGCTGTTGAACAAGTTGTCTAATTTGTTTATGTTCTTTTTTTATTATCCTGGATTGCACAACCCCTAATGCTACATATCCTGTGGAGTAACCCTTTTAAGTGGTTACAGTCACAGATGTAATTTAACTGCGGATCAGATAGTACTGATATGACACAGAGTACTACTTATTTTGATTCTTTATATTCTTTTTTTTGTTTAAACCCAGGAGTAAAGCCTTCATTCTCTTCTTGAAATCACCTTCAAATATCTGTGCCAGGCTAAAAATCATACTTCAGTACTAACGCCCCACTTTCAGACCCACATGATGTCCTGAATTTTGTCTTTTTTTCAGGGTGTTTATTTATATTTATTTGATGGTGGAACTTAAATGAAACGCATATTTCTTTTGCCCCCCTTTTGCAACGTGTAGTCAAGCTTTTCTTTCGTTCTTTTTTGTTAAAGAAGCTGTGCTGAAGTCTTTTAAATAAGCTTCCTGGAGACCAAACGTCTAATATTTTACTGCAAATGTTTGTTCTATTTAATAAGCTGAATGAGGAGAGGGAAATTACCCACTTGTACAATATATTTTAGAAAGCACAGATCTATTTCACATAAGGGTTTCCTGCGATGGAGGTAAAACGAGTTGAACCTGTCACTCTGTGGTTTTTCACTTGCTTAAAACTGTGAAAAAGGGAAAAGCACCTCGTTTTCTTGTCAATGAGGATGTTTATGTACGTCAAACAAGTGTGGGTGTGTGGGGATGAAACGGCCTGTGAAGAAGGTGCGAGGCCTTTCAGAGAGGTGAGGACAAACGAGAGCCCGCAAACCTCAGAGAACAAAAGCGATGCTGTAACAGTGAGTGGGCTCAGTTTCTCTACACAAACGCCAGAAATGAGAGAAAGTGGCTGCTTCTGAAATTCCATCTTCAAGCTGCCGAGTCATGAGATGCGCTCTGATTTTCAAACATCACACCTGCAGGTTTTGGCTCAGTTTTAGTCACGTAGATAACAGGTTGTGTCTTATATCTGTGCTCGTATTAACTGACTTTAAAACCTGGTGATGACTGGAGTTTTGTTTTTATCATCTGTAGTGCCTGAAATTGAATGTTTTTTTTTATCTATTTATTTTAATTCAGCCTTACTATTGTTATATATAAGCGACTTATTGCAGCACCTAATTCTTCTCTCTGAATTTAGATATACTTAAATATATCTAAGTACAACATATTTGACAGAGCATTTTTAATGCTTAATTTCTTTTCTCCAAACTGTGTTTGGAAAGTCATTTGTCAGAGTTGTATTCAGGTTCCTCCTGTACCTGCTAAACTAGTTTAACTATCAAAATATTTTTTTTCTCCACAATTAGTCACTATGCTTTCGGTTCATTCAGAAAAGAAGACATGTCTTTATCTCTCTCTGTAGTTGTTCATCTGAATCTCAATCTTTGTAGTGGTTAAAGATTCAATTACTAAAAACTATAGTAATAGTAGTGATGATAAATGTAATATTGTGTCTACTCTGTAAGTCGCTTTGGATAAAACCCTCTGCCAAATGCATCAACATAAACATAAAGAACATAATTCCTTCATTGGTTTTTGCTCAGCAGCGTTTCATTCTTTGACTCAAATAAAAATGAAAGCACTTAAACTAAACAGTCAGCTTGTGATTAAGACCTGAGCAGATAACAGCTCCTTTCTGTGGTTGCAGATGTCCCCTGACAGGGCAGAGGAACGGGGACCGGTCAGTACTCACCGCGGGCCGCGGCGGACAGCAGAAACAGCAGCAGGCACAGCCGGGCGTCCATGGCCGCCTTCCTGTCGAAACCAACAGGTCAGAAGTCTCTAAAGTCCCCTGCGTGTGGTCCCGCATGGCCCATGGTCTCAGTCAAACCGCCCCTCCGCAGTGAGCGACGTTTCTCGACACGTTTCCTGCCGGGTTCATTCAAACGGCACCGCCTCCGATAGAGAAGTGAGAGAGGGATTTTCACGGCTCGCGCAAGGAAGTCCGAGCACAAACACTCCCACAAAAGCCCCAGGAAGTTCCACCTCCCGGCGTTCAGGAGCTAAAGGTCAACACAGCCCTAGTCTCAGGCATCCTTAACCCTTTAAAGCCTGACCCGAGAATAAAACAAAACAGAAAATTACTTTTTTTTTTTTTGGTTTTAAGTCTTTATTTTGCCTTTTAACAAAACAAGTAAAAGTAAAAAACTAAAATACATTTATTACTATACGATAAGTCAACATTATTTTTTGTGTAGTCTTCTGCCCCCTGTTATCAGGTGTATATGATTGTGTACAATAGGATTTTGAGCAAAGTTTTGACCATTAAATTATGCAAAAGGTGTCAGAAGCAAAACATTTGCTTGAATCATGAATCAGATATGATACATTTGACATTACAGGGTTAAGCATTCTAGTGGTTTCATTTTCATTTCTGTAGTAGTGTGAATTTTACTCATTCATCTTGGGGAAAGCTTTGAGTTTGGGTGGATGGAGGTGGAAGAATGTCTGGATTAATTAACCGTATTGATTAACGAGGAATTCTGGGCTTTTTTGTGGTGGTTTCTGTTCTAAAATGTGGGAGATCCTCCAGTGAGGGTTGGTGAAAGTAGCGGGGAATGCTGGGATGCATCTACCGTGAGTGTGTTTGGGATTTTGATTGTAATTTCTGCATGATGCCCCTCTTCCTGTGCCATATTTCTGCTGTCATCCTTCATGATTCCGGCTCTGAAAGTGCACTCTCAGCAGGAAGTCTCTGCCGTGGTTTTGCAACGGGAACTGACGGCTAATGAAACGGTTAAAAAACCTTTCTGTGTGGAAACGGCGCCTGACTCATCAAGTCGCTGCACAATAGTCTGCGTGCAGAAAGTCACAGAGTTTTAACAGGCAGCGTTTTTTTTTTTTTTTCAGACTCCACATCAATTAAAGAAGTGTTTAAAATTGGCTTCCTAAAAAAAAAAAAAAAGAAAAGAAGAAGGATCTGACCAATTCTGGATAGTTTAAAAAAAAACTCCAAAAACTCTCCAAATATCAGCCTGATGAGATCTGTGGGGAGCCCAAAAAACTTCCTGAATAATACTTGGCGCCTGTTAGGATCGACTGGTGTGGTGCATGAATTTAATTTAATTATCTTTTGGCTAAATGGGAGTGGAGCTGTTTCCTGCCTCACCTGCATGGTCCTTAGTCAGAGTAGCCCACGTGACAGTTTTCAAAGATTTATTTTTTCTTCTCGCAATTTAAAACTCATCTTACTGCAAACGAATTCCACAAAACAAACGTAGAAAGTCGGTTTCTGACTTACCGAATCGCTGTGTGGAGACCTAGACTAGAGCCGGTTTCTGCCTCTGAGCTGCTGGGTTTTCCCTCCTCTTGTAGATCAGACCGTGGTACATTACAATAAACTTTCCACTTCTCAAGGGGAAGGGGGGGAAAAAACACCACCTGCTTCGCTGTTTAGGCGTAGATGATTCACCAAATGCTAACTAGGGCGGATGGACAAAAAAAAAAAACTTTTTGCACAGAGCAGAGAAAAGTTCCCAGCAAACACCTGCTCAAGAAAAAAGCCTCGTCAGCATCTAAGCATAGATCCTGACTTAGATTTTAGTTTATTTCTTGTGAGGATTTGTACTGTAGTCGTTTCCAATGCATCTTTCTGAAAAAGGTTTTCAACTCCAGGGTGTTTTAAGATGGAGATTTATGTAAGAAAGAGCTAGATTGGAAAAAAAAAACACAATCTCATGCTGGTAACGTTACTTTCAGGTCACATAATGGAGTTGGCTATTAAAATGCATAAAGATTAGAATGCAATCACTTTTAAAAAATATATTTTTTATAATAAATGTTTCACATAGATGTTCAGTTGTCATGTGTGGAATAAGTCCCAAAGCCAAGCATAGCCAGACCCTTCTGGATCTACCAAATCTGTCTTAAAGCTGGTTTGGAGAACCAATATTCTCCCCCAAGATAATACAAACTCATAGACTTTATTAATGGTTAACTCTTGTATTGTCAAAGTTATCATGTAACTGCAGTTGTGAGCAGCAAAAGGCTGGAAACCAGATCTTAGTTCAGGCTGGCTGCTCTTCACTACTCAAAGTCCAAATCAGTTAAACAAATGAGAGCATTCAACTGATCGGGGACCCACAGAGAGTCTTCCATGTTTTGTTTTGGATTCGCCGAATATCTCCGATCAAATTCTCAGTGTCCCGATTTGTAAATGTCTGTAGAAAGATTTACTTTAATTTGTTCTTTCTTGGCATGTTGGCCACTTATTCAAATTAAATGGACAATGAAATGTGTATAGTAGCACGTATCCACACAAATAACCTTTTTAGAATGAAATTATTATTTTTTAAAGATATAGTCAAGCTTTAATCCAGTTTAAACCACCATTGTGCATAAAACCGCCTAAATGCTGTTTAAAAAAGAAGACTCAAAGACAACACACAATATCTACATTTTTATACGACAATTACAAAAATACTTGCATTTACATGCTTTTCCACCCGTATTTAAACACTTTTCCATCAAGCTCCCAAAAGTGTCTTTTTAAATAATGTACAGTTTTAATTAACCTTTTTTTTTTTACTTTTCATCTACCAATGAAAATATTCACAGCTTGTATTAACATCCAGAACTCTGACATGCGCGTGTGTACTCATATTTACATGTTTTTATTTACTTTTTTTTTTTTACATGGCTAGTGATGATCAGCAGAAAATCTCCTGTTCCTTTGTTTTCCTGCTCAGCATCTTCTGCCTCCTCTTCATCACGCCCGCCCCCCCCGTACCTCCTTTTTAAATCAGAAACTGGGACCAAAGTGGGACTTTTCTTTGACGGTTTGTGAGGTGCTTATTGAGACTCATTCTGAACCGTCCGTTTCATTGTCCACGTTTGCCGGTTTGAAGTTTTTTTACTGGTTTTTATCAGAATACGACGGTTTGAGTTCATCCTAAGCTCAGCAGGGAGCTTTTCTCCGGATACGCCTCCCTTTTGCCCCTGACCGGCATGTGATACCTCATTTCCTTCCAGAACCTACAGGAAGGAGGGAGAGACGATAGCAGCGGCGAGTCCTTTCCCCCCTTTTCCTCGTCTTCTCTCCCCTCTGTGCACGTCCTCCATCTTTTCCTCCTCCTGAGGCTCTTCCATAAGCAGACGGCGCCCTGCTTCTCCCTGAGGTGGCGCACCGACTCTGGGAACAGGGCCAGCTGAGCCGGGCTGATCTCCTCCAGCTCCACCAGAACCACCTGCAACCAAAGACTCGGATTAGAACCAGGAAAAAAACGCACAACTAGACAAACTAAGTCTCACGCTGAAGATCAGGCAGGTTTGATAGTTTTAAAGGGGACATATTAGGGATGGGACGGTTTCTGAAAACCGTCTGAACCGTTGGGTTGGACTGTCTCGGTTCGATTCGTGTGTGTTGCGTTCGGTTCATGCTGCACCTTTTTCTCAGAGGGAAGCGTTTACACTCCAGAGCAGAAGGGGGCGCTACTGCGCCCAAAGCCAACCTCCAGTAGGAAACAAGAAGAAGAAGCGAAGCAGCGTAGTCGATAAAAAATCAGACGCGCTAACAGCAGTTTATAGGTCAGCTGTATGGGACCACTTTGCATTTAGAGTGAAGCACATGTTGGAATTAGCACTGTTTCCTTGCTTGCAATGCCAGAATCTCACCTACTTTTAACCTAAGACTGTCACAATAATGTATCAAATGTCAGACTGCTTTTTTCTTTCAGTTTTAACCTGACTATACAAGACATAATAGATTTTCGTAACAATCAGCATATACCGAACCGAAAACCGTGACCACGAAACCGTGACGCGAACCGAACCGTGGATTTTGTGAACCGTCCCACCCCTAGGACATACACTATATTGCCAAAAGTATTTGCTCACCCATCCAAATTATCGGAATCAGGTGTTCCAATCACTTCCATGGCCACAGGTGTATAAATTCAAGCACCTAGGCATGCAGACTGTTTTTACAAACATTTGTGAAAGAATGGGTCGCTCTCAGGAGCTCAGTGAATTCCAGCGTGGAACTGTGATAGGATGCCACCTGTGCAACAAATCCAGTCGTGAAATTTCCTCGCTCCTAAATATTCCACAGTCAACTGTCAGCTGTATTATAAGAAAATGGAAGTGTTTGGGAACGACAGCAACTCAGCCACGAAGTGGTAGGCCACGTAAACTGACGGAGCGGGGTCAGCGGATACGGACGCGCATAGTGCGAAGAGGTCGCCAACTTTCTGCAGAGTCAATCACTACAGACCTCCAAACTTCATGTGGCCTTCAGATTAGCTCAAGAACAGTGCGCAGAGAGCTTCATGGAATGGGTTTCCATGGTCGAGCAGCTGCATCCAAGCCATACATCACCAAGTGCAATGCAAAGCGTCGGATGCGGTGGTGTAAAGCACGCCGCCACTGGACTCTAGAGCAGTGGAGACGCGTTCTCTGGAGTGACGAATCGCGCTTCTCCATCTGGCAATCTGATGGACGGGTCTGGGTTTGGCGGTTGCCAGGAGAACGGTACTTGTCTGACTGCATTGTGCCAAGTGTAAAGTTTGGTGGAGGGGGGATTATGGTGTGGGGTTGTTTTTCAGGAGCTGGGCTTGGCCCCTTAGTTCCAGTGAAAGGAACTCTGAATGCTTCAGCATACCAAGACATTTTGGACAATTCCATGCTCCCAACTTTGTGGGAACAGTTTCGAGCTGGCCCCTTCCTCTTCCAACATGACTGTGCACCAGTGCACAAAGCAAGGTCCATAAAGACATGGATGACAGAGTCTGGTGTGGATGAACTTGACTGGCCTGCACAGAGTCCTGACCTCAACCCGATAGAACACCTTTGGGATGAATTAGAGCGGAGACTGAGAGCCAGGCCTTCTCGTCCAACATCAGTGTGCGACCTCACAAATGCGCTTCTGGAAGAATGGTCAAAAATTCCCATAAACACACTCCTAAACCTTGTGGACAGCCTTCCCAGAAGAGTTGAAGCTGTTCTAGCTGCAAAGGGTGGACCGACGTCATATTGAACCCTATGGATTAGGAACGGGATGTCACTTAAGCTCATATGTGAGTCAAGGCAGGTGAGCAAATACTTTTGGCAATATAGTGTATTATGCAAAACCAAGTGTGAAAAAAATGACTCAGTCATGTTTTTGTGGGCTGCCTCAGTCTGAATCCAGGAGATAAATCAGGAGGTTTCAGGAGTGGGTAGTTTCTGACGTCATTAGCTCTAGCTCATTATAATATTCCAGCCTTTCACCTGCATGTTGCCCCCCCCCCTCAGCTTACTCCGCCTATCTGTGGCAGACGTTGTGGTAGCGTGAGCATTAGCATGGTAGCGTTAGCATGGTACCGTTAGCGTGCCGACGTGGGCACACCTCCCTGAAGAAGTGGGCGGATTGCCTGTGTCTCATTTGCATTTAAAGAGACAGGCACTCCAAAGCGAGCGCTCTGAACGGGGCTGTTTTGGCAGGGTTAGGGTTAGGGTTAGGCAGGGGGACTGAACTGCTATTGGGCTTCATGCTTATGGGATTTTGACCAAAGCTTGTCACAGACATTACATCAGGACACCAGGGAACTAGGTTAACTTGTTGAAATAGGGTTTAATATGTCTCCTTTAAAGAGTTCGTCTGGGAGGAGCTGTGAGTCATTAGGAAGCTGCAGCCACTGAAACGGGGTCAGGTCATGGCAGGTGAAAGCCGACAAAAGGAAATAATGAGACGGATAAACTACAGTCAGCTCAGGAAACCGAACAGCTTCAGGTTTCCTGTTCGTGAGATCAAGACGACGAGACTGGGGGTTATTTTAAGCTATGAGTTAACATTTAGAGCGGGGGTGTCAAACTCTGGCCCGCGTTGTAATTATATTTGGCCCCCCGAGACATTATACTGTACATTAACGGCTCATACTACAACTCCCATAATGCCCTGCTGTTGTTCAGGACAGGACCCAGAAACTCCTCTGTGACAGTAGCTACACACTACAGCTGTCACTGTGCTAAACTTCCCAAAAATGACCAAAAGAAAGGCAGGAAACAGGAGCTTTCTGGACAAGAAAATTTAATTTTGATGTTTAATTCAGAAGGCTGCGAAGAGAAAAATATTTTAAAATCTTATTTCATAAATGAATGCCATTTATGAGTTTTTTTTATTTGATATTTGATTTTGCATGTCTCCACTATTAAGTTATATATATAATGTAATGAGAGTTGCTTGTTCCATATTCAATGTTAAAGCAAAATAGTTTTGTTCCATATTAAAAGGTTAATTTGTTCAAACTAGGCCCCCCAGCTTTGTTCAGGTTTTAAATTTTGGCCCTCTGTGTTTTTGAGTTTGACACCCCTGGTTTAGAGCTTTGTTAAGGCTCAGATGCATAACCAAGGAACCACAAGGGACCACTAATTTTAACATGATTTGCAGCCTATATCTAAAATGTTTTTTAAAGAAAAAACATTCAGAAATGATAAAGATAGAGATAAAATATATAAAATAAATATGTAAAATAAATATATAATATATAAAGAAATAAATTCCGTCATTTTAATAAGTGAACAGGTTTTTTATATTGTATAAAGGTGATACATATGAACTTTTTAAATGACCCATAGTCTGATATCTGTCTTCTCTTTAGATCTGGTCACTGTTTTAGCCTTTTAGGAGCAGAGTGGGTAGTGTTTGGGGGTATGGGGGGGTTTGTGGGGTGCTCCCTGACCTTTAGTGACCCCTCCAGCAGCGCCCGGTGCATGGCCGCCACACACTCCATCTGCTGCCGGCTGTCCGGGCGGCCCTCGTCCCCGTCCTGGCTCCCGTCCTTACAGACGTTGTTGTTGTTGTGGCTGGCGTGTCTCCTGCTGGAGAAGGTGGAGGCGCCGTAGAGCAGGAGGAAGCGGCGGCTGGCCTGAATGTTCTCCTCCACGCAGTCCACCACGGCTGCAGGAGGAAGTGAAGTTCTCCGTTAAAACCTGGAGCTGAACCCGCCCGGCCACTAAGTCTTAGTCGAGGGGTGGGCAACCACTGTCCTGCAGGTTTTAGAGGTTTCCCAGCTTCTGCACACCTGATTCACATCAAATTGATCTCTTCCCTCTGCTCCCTCTGTCCTTCTCTCGCCCTCTCTCTCTCTCTCTCTTGCCCTCTCTTTCCCTCACCTCCAACCGGCCGAGGCAGATGGCCGCCCACCCTGAGCCATGGTTCTGCTCGAGGTTTCTGCCAGTTAAATGGAAGTTTTTCCTTGCCTGTGTCGCCTAGTGCTTGCTCATGGTGGGAATTGTTGGGTTTCAGTAAATAACTTCAGAGTAGGGTCTGACCTGCTCTGTTTGGAAAGCGCTGTGAGACAACTGTTGTTGTGATTTGGCGCTATATAAATAAAATTGAATTGAATTTAATTCTGAAGGTGCTTCATCTCTGGACAGGACTGCTGATGTTGTGTTGATGTGAATCAGGTGTGTAGAAGCAGGGAAACCTCTAAAACCTGCAGGAAAGTGGCTCTCGAGGCCCGGAGTTGCCCATCCTTGTCTTAGTCAAAACATTTGTCCGGTTCCGGTAATCCGTAGATCCTGAGATGAACAGCATGTTTCCTACCCACGGGATTTCTATCCTCATTTTTCGGTCATTGTGGAGGAATCTTTTTCTCCTTTTTACAACTTTGTTGTCACCCCTAAACGACAGTGGTCTTCGCTAGACTGGTCCAGATCCGATATTTGCAAAAAAATGCATATCCAGACTCCAGATCCAGTGTGATGCCACATTAGCATTAGCATCTCCTAACCCACAGGTCTGTGTCCTAACCATTAAGTTATCAGAGTAAATCCCTGTTCAACATGAGTCTGACAACTTAGGAATTAGAATAAATAACTTTAAACTTTAACACATGCTCTGATAGACCGGGATAGACTCCTGGGAAGATTAACAGCTGCCTCTGAATGTGTTCCAGCCTTAAACAGGCTTTCTATCTGTAGAATGATGGACTCCAAATAGTTTGGAAACGGCCTAAAACCCTTCCCAGATCAATGGTCAGCAGTGGCTTCTGTAAGCTCATTTCTGATTTCTTTCCTCCTGTGTTAACACTCCCGACCTCTGCTTTTACAGAGCTCTCCGCGCTCCATGATGATTCAGCTGCTCAGTTTTCTATTCGCACTCTCACTTATGTTGAAAATAAGTCAAACAAGTAGAGCAAAAAACAGCAAACGAAGCTGATTAATATATAAATAAATGATGATGACCTCTCATGTGCCCTAGGTTGTACATAGACCCTGATACTGTTTCCTCCTGGAGTGTGACTCGGGGTTAACCGTGTGATGCGGTGTGTGTTTTTAGAGGGACCTACAGAGCCCTGGGAGACTGTCCCGGCCGGCTATGAAGAGCTTGTAGCCGCAGGCCTTCTCCAACACCTGCGGGAGCGTCTGCAGGGCAAACCTCTCCACCTCCTCGGTGAATCCCATCGCTCCGGGCTGAGGGTAAGCCACGTAGGCATCGTACCGCTTCCCGTCCAGATCTGCACACACAGAAGAGTCACATTGATTGATTATTTTTTTCTTTAAACCTGCGACTTTAGATTTAGGTGGAAATGTTTTAATCAGCTTCCCCCCGTCCTTTGAGTCTCTTAACTCATTGGCTGCCAAAGACGTCTATAGACGTCAATTCAAATACAAGCATTGGCTGCCAAAGACATCTATAGACGTCTTTTATGTTTTTCAACGAGAGTGGCTGGGGGACGATCTGCTAAAGCTTGTCCGTAAATATCAGGCTTCTAGACAGAGTATGTAGTAACAAATTGACCCTCTAGGGGGCAGTGCCACTTTTGATGGGAGATGAGCATAGACTGTAGGCAAATAAGAAAAAGGTAACGGTTCTATGAGAGAACATGTCGCCGGTGAGACGCAAGTCGAGGAAGAACGGAATAAGGTAGAAACACTTTTTTTCCTGATGAAAGAAGAGAGTCTACTCTTTCTTTTGGTGTGTTCGGTGTTTACATAGTCATAGCACAAACTATTCTGTGGCTCTTGAAAAATCAGTCAAAATGCTCAAAAAACTCTGGCAGTATGGGACTTTCTGTTCTGAAAAAGGCTGGCAGTCAATGAGTTAACAGCTGAAAACACTTCTATGGTTTGCTCAGAATAATCCCACCTTGTATGATCAACATTTTATCTCCACAAAACCCAGAAACATTTTAGACAACCAGCTAGCAAAACTTCAAGGACATTGGGTTTTCCATTTTCAGACGGGTTCATGATTTACAGCCATTCTTTTTTTCTTTCATTTTTTAAACCTGAGACTTTAGATTTAAAGAAAATGCCTTAAAATGTGTTTCTATCAAATTCTCAGTGTCCTGATTTGTAAATGTCTCTAAAAAATTGTACTTTAATTTGTTCTTTCTTGGCATTTGGCCACTTATTCAAATTAAATGGACAATGAAATGTGTATAGTAGCAAGTAATCCACACAAATAACCTTTTTAGAATTAAATAATTATTTTTTAAATGTATAATCAAGCTTTAATCCAGTCTGGACCACCATTGTGCATTATACAGCCTAAATGCTGTTTAAAAAAGAAGACTCAAAGACAACACACAATATCTACATTTTTATACAACCATTACAAAAATACCACCCGTATTTAAACACTTTTCCATCAAGCTCCCAAAAGTGTCTTTTATAAATAATGTACAGCTTTAATGAACCTTTTTTTTAACTTTTCATCTGCCAATGAAAATATTCACAGCTTGTATTGACATCCAGAACTCTGACATGCGCGTTTGTACTCATATTTACATGTTTTTTTTTTTACTCTTTACCGTCCAGATCTGCACACATAGAGGAGTCACACGGGCCCCTAATCTGCCCACAACAAAACTAGCTAGCAAGCTAACCACCAGCCGTCACCGAGCTGATCTAATCGCTCGTGTAGCTGAGCTGTGTGACTGAATGTAAACCACTCGCTATTCAAAGAGGAAACCATTAGGTAAAGCCTACGTTTGAAATCGTGAAAAAAGCGTTTTTGGCCACGTGCAGTTCGAGTGAGATGAACATCTGCAAACCCCTGTCTGAGCTCTCTTTGTCGGGATTTCTATTCCACACCCTGAAAGAAAGAAGATTTTCTTCTGTGTGGATTGTTTTTATCACAAATTTCTTTGAGTTATTAAATCTTTTGGAGGACATTGATACCAACAGGATTTTAGTGAGATGTTCATTCTAGGGTTGTCAAAAGTATCGATACTAAAACTTTGTATCTGGAAACGATGCCCCTTCTCTCTGATTTATTTGTTTACGTTGTTTATGTTAGCCTTGAATTGCTAGCTGCGGCTAATGGCTAATAATAACACGCCAACATTAATCAAGTCTGTCTGGCTGCAGACTGCAGCAAGCCAAGGATGGATATCCAACTCCCCCACATCCATGTCGGCCATTTTGATTAGGTCACCAATAGGAAGATCCCAGGCAAGAAAATCCTAATTGCTTCATGACAATATAGAAAATAATCTAAAATAGTTCAATTAATCTTGCAAACACTGAATTAAACTCTATCCATAATATTATGTTAAAATAGTGTATGTTAAATAGGTTTGTACAATAAGTCCAAACAAGTTTAACCAAAAAATATTTATTTCTCACAATTATGAAGCCTGGAGGGTTAGGGTCATTAATGGCCACCATAACATCAGTAACAGGTCAGTTTGAAGACACTAACATGTCCAAATTCAGTTAAATTTTGGGATCTTTGTTTTTATCCTTGTGGTATCGAAAATTGTATCGAGTATGGAATATTCTCCTGAGTATCGGTATCGAGTTGAACATTTTAGTATCGTGACAACCCTAGTTCATTCACTGCTCCAAATGTGGGTTCTTGTTTCAAACTAGCCCATGCCATTTTATCAGAAATGCAGCAGGCTGCCTGTGGTGAGCTGATTTCCTTTGTTTGTGTAGCTGTAGACGTGTGCGGTTAAGTGTGAGGTAGAGCTACAGTTTCTGAGTTCCACCGAGCTCTGTGGACTTGACTAGATGACGCCACAGGGGGGTTTTTCCATCGCACGGCGTTTGGCCCTACAGCTAAACGAAGCCTTACCTTTATTGGTGTAGAGGACGGGACAAGCCCTCCTGAACCAAAGCACGATGTCGATCCTAAAGCTGTAGTAGACGGCCACACTGATGACAAACAGCACCATCATGCTCCCGAAAACAGACCCAATGGGGGTCATGGCGTCTGGGTCTGGAGAGAGGAACCACACTGGCATCAGAAGTATTCTGCTTTACAGAAAAGTGTTTTCCTTATCAGACGGCGGCCTCTAAAACAGGTTGAATCTCCACAGAACTCTCACGTCTGGGGGAATGTCTGGTGTCTCGTCATGTCTTGATTACCTATTGTGTACACCTGGGGTTCCCCTCCCTCATGTGTTTAAATAGTCCTCTTTCCCCATGTCCTGTGCCAGTGCGTTTTCGTCATTTCGTCTTTTCGCCCCCCTTCGCCACGTAAGGTTTGATTTTTGTCACAGCCATGCCATAGTCTTATTTACTTTATTGCCATAGCCATGTTTTTGTCACAGCCTTGCCACAGTTTTGTTAATCTTGATTTGATACTTTACCATAGCCTTGTTTACTTTATTTGATACTTTGTGTTCACAGTCTGGTTAATCTTGATTTGATACTTTGTTCATAGTTTTGTCACAGCCTTGTTTTGAACTTTGTCTGGACATCCACTCTTTTTGAGTGTGTTTTTGTTACAATAAACCCTGTTTTCACCAATCTCCGCGACTGAGTCCTCCCTAAGATCCACCCTTGTGACAGGAACGAGCGGGCTCACAAGGCTTTGAACAGATTCTCCAAAGCTCACACGGCTTTTTGTTGTGGAACAATCTGACCAGACCCTCTCCCTCCTTTCTCCGGCCGGTTTTACCTGTCGGCAGCAGGGTGAAGTATCCCTCCGGGGTGCCCCTGGAGCTGTGCGCCTGGCAGGTGTAGTTGAGGTGGAGATCCTCGGCCCTCAGATCGGTGATGGTCAGCAGCCGCTCGGACCACAGGCCTTCGCTGGTGTTGTCCTTCCACCAGCTGTAAATAGAGGACGAGGGCCAGAATATGAGAGGAAGTCGGCGGCAGATAGCCGAGTTATACGGAGAAATGACGGTTCTGACCGCTGGTCTGATGTATAGATGTGGCTGGATGAGTTTTTGTCCAGAATAAACTCATCTTTGACCTTCCAGAGGATGTCGATAAACGGCCTCCCAGTGCCCAGCACGTATATGAGGCACTTCTTGGTTAGATTGGAGCCTAAATACAAAAGGAAGGGGGAAAAAAAACACAACCTGTTCTTACTGAATCCTAAAATGTCAGCAGACAACTCCTGGGAACATATCTCAATACAAACTGTGCTTTTTTTCAAATTAGTTTAAGCTGTAAGCGTTTCAAAATGGCCGCCCGGCGCCCTGAGAACAGGCTACAAGCTGAACGTACCCATCTCTGCTTTGACGGTCCCATTTGCTGGTTCGTGCAGTTGTGGAACTTTGTAATACTCGTCTGTAAAGAAAAGGAAAAAACACAAACCGAGGTTTAGTCAAACTCAGAGTAAAGCTGCATGTAGAGGTGCATTATTTCATTTTGAATGAGGCCTGAGAGCCTTTGAACACGAGATTAAAATAGTAAAAACAACACGTATGAACTACATCCCTTTCAGAGCTAACGGCATAAACAGTTGGTTTATTTCTGACGATCTAGACATGACGACAAACTCATTTTTGGATGATTGTTGTTATATTAAATGAACAATTTAGCGCCACAGCACTTGAACGGCTGTGTTTGAGAAAAAGTTTCATAAGTCTTTTTATTTTAAGTTCATGAATAAGAAGGTAATCTATTTTTTTAGCTTTATTCTAGCAGAATTTGTGACATCTGCTTTGAACAGCAAAACAGTCCCACTGAAAATACCATTTATTCCACATTTATGATTTTAAAAAAAATATGCCTGCTGACATTTAAATAAAGTGGGGTTAAAAGAGAAGCCTAACGCTACTAAGAAATAGAGATGATTAAATGGAATGGCTGCTAAATTTTTCACTTAATGAAAAAGCCAGCAGACGCTTTGGATTAGACTTTGAGTGGAGTCTTCTTTAGGCTCCAGAGGTGACGTGAGGTGGATTTCTGATGGTCACTAGAGCGAGGCGTCCCGGTTGTGCACGGCTAATAGCACGTGACCCTCTGCTCTGACCTTCCACGGTGGCCTCTATGGTCTCTGACACGGAGCCCGTGACCCCGCCCAGCTGGAAGCTCAGCGTGCAGGTGTAGGTGCCGCCGTCTTGAAACCCGACGCTCTTCACGGTCATTTTGGTCTTGTCTCTGTAGCTGAACCTGTCCGTCTCATCCGAGTCCTTAAATATGGGCTCGCAACCCTAGATTGGGAAACACAAAAGTTACACTACGTTAGCATTGTATGCTATCACATGGTCTATGTAAATTACTGATGGTTTTATCTCTCTTTTTCTTTCTCTGTTGCATTAGATCCACCTTTAGGTCAACACACACACACACACCATTTGTTACCACATTCCTGTCATCTGCATGAATTAGGACCTGGCCTGTTCATGCCCAGAGGTAACTGGCCAATAGGACTTGGTTGTGTCCAGTCCTCCTTTGAGGAGGCGGATCGAGCCCAGGAGATAATGCCCATCACCCAGATCTCAGGGCTCTTTGCCCACTGAGACCAAGAGAGAGGTTTTTGTCTGTTAGAGCCCAGTTGATACACTTAACTGTGACCAGTAAATGTATTTTTTTATTCTTTTGATCTACTCTGGTTTACTCTCAAGTTTCCAACTAAAGAATCGGGTTAACAACTATCAGAACTGACTCACCCTGAACCAGCTGGTGCTGGAGGGGATGTTGTAACTGTCCAGTTTGGTGATGACGTCCTGCAGGGGGCAGCTCAGCATGTCCGACGCTCCTTTGGTGAGAGTCTGATCGGCTTTCCGTGGCCGTTCGCACTGTCCAGCCGCTGGCAGCTCCACCACCAGCAGGGTGGACTGCATGTAGCAGCGAGAGGGCGTCCTGAAAGGAGAAGTGACGCCGTAAGTGGCCCGATCGGCAGGTTACAAGTCCGCCTCTGTGCCTTTCGGCCCTCATTCATAGAAGAGATTACATTTGAATTCAGCTTTTTTCTCATTTAAAGGAGACATATTATTCCCTATTTCAACAAGTTGAACTAGTTCCCTGGTGTCCTAATGTAATGTCTGTGACAAGCTTTGGTCAGAATCCCATAAGGATGAAGCCCAATAGCAGTTCAGTCCCCCTGCCTAACCCTAACCCTAACCCTAACCCTGCCAAAACAGCCCCGTTCAGAGCGCTCGCTTTGGAGTGCCTGTCTCTTTAAATGCAAATGAGACACAGGCAATCCACCCACTTCTTCAGGGAGGTGTGCCCACGTCGGCACGCTAACGCTACCATGCTAACGCTACCATGCTAACGCTACCATGCTAACGCTACCATGCTAACGCTACCACGCTAACGCTCACGCTACCACGACGTCTGCCACAGATAGGGGAGTAAGCTGAGGGGGGGGGGGCAACATGCAGGTGAAAGGCTGGAATATTATAATGAGCTAGAGCTAATGACGTCAGAAACTACCCACTCCTGAAACCTCCTGATTTATCTCCTGGATTCAGACTGAGGCCAGAAACTACCCACTGAGGCGGCCCACAAAAACATGACTGAGTCATTTTTTTTCACACTTTGCCTGCTGATAGGCCCTCCACAGTCCCAAATGTACATAATCAAATTATTAAAAACTTGGTTTTGCATATGGTAATATGTCCCCTTTAGTTTAAAAATTCACACAATTTGTTGTGAAAATTCTTCAGTCTAGTTGTTCTTTTTGAGCAGGAACCACATTTTTATAGCAGGAATGGCGGATCTGATGAGAGTTTGGCCCTCGGGGCTGTTGGGATGACGCTTAGAAACCCACAGGATGTGATGCCGTCACACACGTATTTCGGTGGTGGCTCAGGCAGGCAGCTCTTGGTTTTACTCCATGTCCAGAAAAACCCACATGTTGCAAAGCAAAGCCAGAGTTTCGGGTCTTATCTTATCGGATGTTTACATACGACTGTGAGGACTGTGTGTTTATCCGAAGCCTTTTGAACGCTTCTGAACTGTGTGATCCACAGAAGGCTCAATCTGGGGCTTTTTTATGAAGAAATTCTCACAGAATTTGATTAAAAAGCACTTGAATAGTATCAAAGATGAATGAAATTGTTTGGGTGTAAGAGTTTATTCTTCCTTTATTGTCTTTATTTCTTTACTTACCCTCAGACTGTTGTATTGTTAGAATACAATATATAAAGTTGTGTTTATTAATGCTACTTTCTGGTCTTTTCTGGTCATTTTTAGAGTTATTATTGGAAAAAAAAACTTGTCTCAAAGTTTTGAGCCTGCTATTTAATCGGGAGTGTCTTAATAACAAACTTCTGCAAAAGAAGGAGAAAGCGGAGCAACAAGTTTGGCCTTTGTTCTGTTTTTCTCACCTCAGTATGGTCACATACTCCCCGTTGTCGTCCATTGTGACGTTGAGGAACCACAGGGTCTCTTGGAGGACCAGGACTCTCCCCGTCTCGTTGCTCATCTGTGTTTTGGTCCTGGCGTTGTACCAGGTGATGTTGTGGGGGACGGTCCTAAAGTCGAAGACGTCTGGGGAGACCAGGGTGCTGTTGAGCATGGCCACGTCCCCCGGGACCGAGAAGGTCCTCTTGAACTGCAGGTAGTAGTTTTTGCAGTTCTCTGGAAACACACATGGAGGCAGAGCAGGGGTTTGCTTCATTTGTTTTTTATTTTGTTTATTCTTTCCCTTGTCGTGTTTGGCATTATGGCAACAGAATTTGCTTCAGCTATCCCCGGAAACCCGGCCACTCCTAACCTCAGCATTCTGCTTTACAGAAGATTTGACTGGACTAAAGGGGAAATATATATATACCCAAAACAACCTGATTCTGATTCTGTTAATGGTTCAAAGTAGCTGCGCGCCCCCTTGTGGTGATAGGCTGCACACACAGGTCTCTTCCGGTTTATTTAATTAATTTTTGGATGATTGTTGCTATATTAAATGAACAATTTTGCACCAAAGCAATTGAACGACTGTTTGAGAAAAAGGTTGATCAGTCTTTTTATTTTAAGTTCTCGAATAGGAAGGTAATCTGTTTTCTTGCTTTATTCTAGCAGAGTTTGTAACATCAAAAACAGTTCCACTGAAATTGCCATTTATTCCACATTTTGATTAAAAAAAAAAAATCGTCCTGCTGACATTTCAATAATAAGGGGTTAAAGGAGAAGCTGTTTTAGCAAAGTGGCCTTAAAAAGGTAAAAGATATTTAATTGACACAGGATATTTGAAATTTAGACTGAAGTTTCCAAAAGACTGGGTCCATTTTTTCCTCGTTTTTTTATGGTAGTTTGGTGGAAGGAATGGATTGCATTGGGAAATTCAGAGACCTCCTGGAGGTTAACTGGAGGTTGGGGGGGGGATTTGGTTTTGTTAGCATCTCTTTGAGGAGCAGCTCTAACCGGGAGTGCCTCAAACTCACAACAGTTTAGTTTTTGCCCACAAGAGGGCGCTCAAAGCTTCCTCACAACCGGAGTCAGCTGTGAGCTTAAGCTGGGAAGTGTCAGCTGTGTGTGTGTGTGTCAGTGTGTGTGTGTGTGTGTGTGAGTGTGTGTTTACCTACCTGTTTTTGGCATGGAGGACAAATCGGTGTCCCCCTCATCCCCTTGGACGGATCCTGAGCAGATCCAGAGGAAAAGCACCAGACTTCCCAGAATTGGATTCAGGCCCATGGCTAAAAACACAACCACAGAAAAAAAAAAAAAACAATAAACACTCAGCAGAAGCAGGAACAACTAGAAGAGTCGAACCTCTCACAGCCTCCATTCATCCCGACAAACATACCACCAACTCAGCAGATCTCTACCCCACGTTTCTCTTCCTGTCTGTCCTCTTTCCTTCCTCTTTTTTCCTCCCTATTACTTTTGTCTTACCACTGAAAGATCCTTAGTCCCCCGGTGTTTGAGGAGTCACCATTTAAACTTAGAAAACAATGGCAAGTCGGGCTTTGAAAGCAGAAAGACTCCCCTTATTCCCGACTGTCGTGTTAGCAATAGCATTCCTTCTCGGCGCTGCCTGGAAAGTGCCGGTAGGTGACTCCTTTAAACTACCAGAGAGGCAAAGGGTTTCTTATCTTATCTCAGAGAGACTATCCAGTGAGTGTGCTCTGACATGAGTCAGTGGAAAGCTACTGTTAGATACTTAATTGTGTGAAAAACTGCCATTGATCCTCATTAACTCATTGGCTGCCAAAGGCGTCTATAGACGTCTTTTATGTTTTTCAACGAGAGTGGCTGGGGGACGATCTGCTAAAGCTTGTCCGTAAATATCGGCTTCTAGACAGAGTATGTAGTAACAAATTGACCCTCTAGGTGGCAGTGCCACATTTGATGGGAGATGAGCGTAGACTGTAGGCAAATAAGAAAAAGGTAACGGTTCTATGAGAGAACATGTCGCCGGTGAGAGGCAAGTCGAGGAAGAACGGAATAAAGTAGAAACAAATGTTTTTTCCTGATGAAAGAAGAGAGTGTACTCTTTCTTTTGGTGTGTTCGGTGTTTACATAGTCATAGCACAAACAAAGGTCGTCCTGCACCGGGTTTCCCAGTGATTCCAACCACCTCCTGACACATTACACAGAAACCAACAGAGAGAGCAATGCAAACATCCTCTCTAACACCTTGATATTTAGAATCAAACACTTTTTAGTGTTTAAAGCAGACTTGGATTTGAACTCATAGTAGAATCTGTGAGATGTGAGTGGGAGCTGGGAAAAACAGTAGCAACAAAGTCTATGAAAAAGCTGTGAGAAAGGCGGAAACAGGGGAAAAGATACCTAAACCACAAAGGCCACAACTGGGTTTTTTGCTACAGCCGGATCCCCTGAAGCTGCTCATCTGGAAACCTGAATGCAAATGAAGTGGGTTTGTTCAGTCGGTGTAGTTTCTACAGCGGTTTTCTCACTTTAACTGCCCCAAAACTTCCACGTGAATGTGTTTATCATGCGTATAAATATGTATATTACCGTATTTACGGGTAGTTTAGGCCATGCTTGTGCACAAAAAATCTGCATTACTGCATTTCAATGTAAACAGTCGTTTTATAACTTTGTTTTTTCCGAAGTTTAACATCAGTTTTCGAATTGTACAATTTATATTTGCAATGTAATCTTCAATAATGACTAGATGAGTGTTTTTTTTAGTGTGTTAATAGATAATCTGAGAGTCAAAGATTGATGTAAAGTTAGACGTGAGGGGGTTGAACTGGAGAAATTACTCCAACTAAGGGGAAATGTAAAGGCAGACATGTTTCTGAACGGTGCTAGTTGTTGTGGTTGAAGTTTACCTGCTCATAGACCACGTCCTTTGCAAATACATTCAGAAACGGGCTTTTTTCTTTAACAGGTCAGAGCACAAAAACCTCCCATAGTGCAAGTGACCATGTTTGATTGGTGCCTTTTTTAAAACGGAGCCCTCACAGTGCATGCTAATATGGAATTAGCCAAATTCCTCCTTAAGGTTAGGGGTCATATACGTCAGATATTTTTTAGTCATTTAAAAATAAATGGTCCTTGAAGTTTACTCGATCTATTATAAATTTTTCAAAATATTTTTGTGGAAGGAACCATATGTTATTGATTTAGAGCCTAAGCCTGAAACTCTCCATGACATACAGAAACTTCAAACTTAACATTTTTACTTATCTCAGTAAAAAGAAAGATGTGGGCTGTTGTAGGAAAGGTGGAAGTGGTTTAAAGAAAAAAAATATGCAGCTTTAGGCGCAGCAAAAGCCACAAATGGGGCATCTTTCCTGCCACAAAGACCTCACTGGAAAAACTCAAACTCCTTTTGAGTTTATGATCATTATTGTTTATGATCATTAGCCTTGAATTGCTAGCATGATGTTAGCCTTGAGTTGCTAGCTGTGGCTAATGGCTAATAACAACACGCCAACATTAATCAAGTCCAGACTGCAGAAAGCCAAGGATGGATATTCAACCCCGCCCACATCCAAGTCGGCCATTTTGATTAGGTCACCAATAGGAAGATCCCGGGCAAGAAAATCCTAATTGCGCCATGGCAATATAGACATTGATTTAAAAATTGTGAAATGAATCTTGCAAACACTGAATTAAACTCTATACATATTATGTTAAAATAGTGGATGTTAAATAGGTTTGTACAATAAGTCCAAACAAGTTTAACCCAAAAATATTTATTTCTCACAATTATGAAGGGTGGAGGGTTAGGGTCAGGGTTAGGGTTAGGGTCAGGTTTAGGGTCATTAATGTGGGCCACCATAACATCAGTAACAGGTCAGTTTGACACCAAAGACACTAACCTGTCAAAATTGAGTTAAATTTTGGGGTCTTCGATTTTATCCTTGTGGTATCGAAAATGGTATCGAGTATCGATTATTTTCCTGAGTATCGGTATCCAGTTGAAAATGTTAGTATCATGATGACCCTACCACATAATGAAAACGCTCAGACGTCACCTGGTGCCGGTGGAGGTGACTCCACTGTGACCTAACCGAGTCTGGAAGTGTCTCAGAGAGGCGGCATATTTTTGCTGTGAGGCGAGCCCGGGCAGAGCGGAGCGTGGGAAGAGCAGAGGAGCTGAATGGGGCTCAGGGATTTTTCTCTGCCTTTTCACCTGGGCGTGTGGCCTAATTCCCCTGAATGAAGCTGGTCTCACCGATGTGTGCAGGTTTGGGAAGTGGAAAGACGGCTTCTTGGAACTGGGGAACGGACCGGCTTATTGTGAGAATGCCTACTGGCATTGTTTCACTATTTTTTGCTTGTTTCACTTCTTCTGCATCTAACTACGCCCACAGTTTTCATCCTATTTCAACAAATAAGGCATCAAAATGTTCAGCTACCTCGGGACTATGCAGCTTTGAATGTTGGTGTTCAAATCTTTTCTACTCTTTAAGTTGTTTAACTTTTTCTGCTTTTAATTTCTCTCATTGAAATGAATGGAGTCAAAAACATGGCTCCATCTAGTGTTAAGCCCCTTTAGATTGTTCCTAGGTATTCCTGTGCAGCGTTTCAGCGTGTGGTATAGCTTAGTGGTATAGCCCAGTGGTGTAGCCCAGTGGTGTAGCCCAGTGGTGTAGCCAGGTGGTATAGCCCAGTGGTATAGCCCAGTGGTATAGCCCAGTGGTATAGCTCAGTGGTATATAGCCCAGTGGTAGAACCTTTGACTGCACATCCAGAAGTTGCTGGTTCAAAGCTCTTTGTACCTTCTTGATAATTTAATGGCCTTTTACTCATTATTTTACTTCTAATCCTTTTACCTTTCTTCTTCCACTAGTTTTCAGCTCTTTAAAATTCTTCCTCCCTTCAGCCTTTTTCCTTCCACTCTGTCTTTTTCAGCTTTTCTTTGGCTTCTTCTTCTGCCTCCATTCAGCACTTGACATTCTCACAGTTGTTCTGCAGGAACAGCCAGATTCTAGTTGTTTATAGAGGCCAAAGCCTGTAAACTGGCCGGTTATTATGTCCCGCCTGCTCGTTAAGCCGCTCGCTTTCAGAAGAGATGTTGTACAAACTGCTTGCCTGACATAAATCCCGCCATTGCCGTTGGGCAACCGGCCTCCAGCCGAACAGAATGACGCAACGCTTCGTTTCATTACACTAAAACGACAAAAAAAAAAGAGCAAAGTGTTTACTTCAGTTTGCACTCGGTGCTGTCTGGGCGTGTTCTCCCGCAGGTCTGTTCAGTCACGCGAACTTTGTCCATCTGTTTGTGGCACAGCGGTTTCAACAGGCCAAAGGGTGACCAGTGTACCGGGGATAACAGCAGATAAGAGCCTGGTAAACACGCTGTGACCGTCAGGCCACTGTCGTGTTTGATCTGATCCCGCCAAGTCGCCAGGATTCAGGCCGGGATTCGGTCAGACGGACGGCTGAAAGCCACCGGTGAGTCATCGCTGAGATGAGGAGCGACCGATGAGTAACTGGAGGACGGGCACGTTGGCTCAGTGTTGTCACAAACTGTCCTTCTCACAGGCCTCCGGAGGGAAAACACCACAAACGTAAACACATCAGTGAAAAGCCAAGGCTTTAAACGCTCAGCTGGATTTCCAGCCCATTTTTAACCCATTTTTAGACAATTTCCAGCCCATTTTTAGCCCATTTTTGGCCCATTTTTAGCCCGTGTCCAGCCCATTTTTTGGCAATTTTTAGCCAGACCCAGCCCATTTTTAGCCCATTTTCAGCCCGTTTCCAGCCCATTTTTATCCCATTCTTAGCCCATGTCCAGCCCATTTTTTGCCAATTTCCAGTCCATTTTTATCCCATTTTCAGCCCATTCTTAGCCAGACCCAGCCCATTTTTAGTCCATTTTCAGCCCGTTTCCAGCCCATTTTTAGCCCATTTTCAACCCATTCTTAGCCCATGTCCAGCCCTTTTTTAGCCCATTTTCCACCCATTTTTAACCAATTTTTAGCCCATTTCCAGCCCATTTTTAGCCCATTCTCAGCCCATTTTTAGCCCATTTTCAGCCCATTTCCAGCATATCCAGTATGATCAGTCTGCTCTGAAACGAGTTTTTCCTTCAGCCGTAATTGTCTCCATCTAGATTAAACTAAATGAACGTGACGGCGGGGATTGCGTTAGCCGTTAGAGGCTAAAGGGAAGGTCAGCGTCGGCCACCAGAAAAATGCTCAGCAAAGCAAAAAGCTTCTTCTTTTTTTTTTGTTTTTCGGGAAGGTCGGGAAGAGGATGTTTCTATTAT